CCCCCCCCCCAAACAAACGAAAAAAGTAAGTAGCACATACTTTATGTGTATCATACCTGCTGGGAATCAGTGGCCATCTATGTAATGAGACTGGTGGTGTAGATGTGCTATATATATATGTGTGTGTGAATGTAGTCGTACTGTTGTGGGTGGGGGTTGGGGTATTCAACGTGTAATGGAGTTAAGTGTCAGTTACGTGAATGTTCCAGTGTGCAATTAATTTGGGATGTGGTTTGGGGGCCGATGTCTTCCCTGCTGACCAGTTTGACAGCGACATCTAAAAGAGCTGAAGTGATGGAGGCATCTTACACCTTTTAATTGGCTTTGGGATCCAAACAGAAACTGTCAAACATATGCGGTTATTAGGGGATGACGTGGGCTGGGTTTCCACTGGAATGATCTTTAGTCTTATTCACTGTATTATTTCAGACAAAAATGTTGTGACTATGTTCATAGAGAATCTTTTCACTTTGTCCTGTATTGTATTTAACTGAATGATCCCATGTTCCTTCACAGTCTTAGAAAACAAAGAGGATAATGAAACCCTTTAAAATGCACCTTAAAACCTCAACTTTAAAAGTTGCCATGTGATATTAACACGGATGACTGTCTCTCAGCATTAGCAAAGTTACGCTTTCTAATGTGGGTATGACTGAAATCATTGGTTCACTGTGATGAGTATTAATTATTAATGAGGGTGCCATCTAAATCCACCCTAAAACAGAATTCACATATTTCAGAAAAAGTCAAACGATCTCTAAGAATGTAGCTTTGAGACAGTTTATGGACTTAAAGAGAGAATTAGGTTACATGCTATCTGCCATAGCTTTTAGAGCTGGTTGGAACATTATAAAAGGAGAATGTGAGGTCTTGAATTAAAATTGATAGTCACAGGAACATTGAACTGTTTTCTTTGGGGTTTTTTTTATTTGTTTGATTTAAAAACAAAGCATTTCAACTCTTAATTCTCACTAGATTATCTAAGATCACTAAAATAAATAATAATACGCTAAGAAATAGTTTTACGTTTTGGTGCCATGTCCACATCTGTGCCAAGTATGATGCTAAAGCCAGATTAAGCTAAGTAGCTTAATTGACTTAACATTGTTCAGTCTTCTCCTAGGCTAAGCTAATTTCCAGTGGGCAGTGAGTGATTCTTAAGTTCTCATATAATTCTTTATGATTACCGTATAAATTTTATTTAACTGAAAGTGTGATATTTTATAGACAAAGCTATTCTGCTCTTTCATGTTATTCCCCAACTTTGTGCAAAGATACGCTAACACTAGGAAATTAGTCTTACTAATCAAATTTGACTCTTCTTCAGTTTAAAATAGTGATTGAAATAATTCAAACCCTAAAAAATAAATATTTTGTGCACACATTCTGTACACAGGAGAGAGGCTAGAAATATGACTTTCTGCACATTTCAGCATCATTTCAAACAAGGTTCTCCTTTTTTTTATTGCATGTTAGGCTTTTCCGCATTGATTAATCTTAAAATTATTAGGTAGAAACTGAAAACTGACTGCATTTAAAAAACACTGTAACAGGTTAAATGAACAAGAGTCACCTTGAACTGCAGCTGATATATAAGTTGCTTCCAGCTGTTTAAGACGTCTTTCCTTTAGGCTTGTTTGCAAACACAGCAGCATCAAAGAGCAGCAGGATCCATATCAAAATGTCCAAAGTCACATTTATTCATTTTCTTCAGTTATTTTTGTCAGCAGTGTAAACAGCACATTGTGTCTGATTAGTCCTTACTAGAGACTATTGTGTCTTTAATGGTTAATTCTTTTCCTTCCACAGCTTCAGCAGCACTTTCTCTTATTAAACCCCAAATTATGATCAATTAAATAAAATAATTACTGAATATTAAAATTAATAGCCTATGATTAACCTTTAATTATAATCTATTAGTAGTTACGTCACATACATCAATCCACCATGAGTCTCACTTCAAGTGGTAGCTATAAATTGGGAGTGCTGTGGTTTATTATATTCTTAAAAGGATCATTCATCAAAATGTAAACATAAAGACAAAGAACAGTTAATTTTTTATGCAAAAGGATGGAATGAAATAATGTGAATACCGTTTTAGGTGGGATTTCTAACAGTCTGAGGACTCGATGCCTTTTAAATGGGTTATTTTAACAGTGAAATGCCATTTTTGAGGACAGTTTTCTTTCTTTCTTTTTTACTGAGGCTCTCTGACTGTTTCATTTACACCAGGAATCCATTGTTGTTGTTATTCTTGGTGTCTTGAGCTGCATGTACATTTTAATATTTTCTCTCTCTTTCAAGAGGCATTGCCTGAGTCTGTATAGAGAGAAACGGACACTTAATTCACACACATGTGTGAGGAATGGAGACATAATCAGTGTCTATAATTTCATTAGTTCCACAGTATTTACTTCTCACACTCTTTCACACAAACACGCACACACTTGTGCTTAGACTGTCCTTATGTACGGCACAAACAAAAACAAGCCCATTACCATAATCACCCCTGTAATGAGAAAATAGGGCGAGAGCAATCCAGGGCTCTTTAACAGTTGTTCAACAAGTGAGAGAATCAACACTGCTTATGAAAAATGAGACACAGTTACTTAATCGAGTGCCTGAACAAAAACCTTCTTCTACTGTGCTTTGAGTACCGGCTGACTGTTTTACTTACTCTTATTACTTTGTCTTAAATCTTTTTGTCTTTTTGTGTGTTTGTGCTTAATAAAGGGAAAACATGAGTGTGGGGTTGAAGGGCAGCAGTTTACCAGTTTATCACACTGGTGAGATGATTGCCTGATGAGTAACAACCAACTCACTGCCTTCACTCACAGTATGCCTTCATATTTGTTTTGGGTATTTTAAATACCTGAGAGATGGAAACTGAAACATTACACAAGGTTTTTCCAAATATCTGGATTTTAGAGATTTTTTGGACTTTTTTTTTAAGTTTTCAGCAACAAAGGGAAAAAATGGCTCAGGTCTTACATTATCTTGCTGTCGAGATTTTATCCTGAAATACGCCATGAAAATATACAACAATAGCTTTTGTTGGAGTAAAACTGGTGTCTTTAAGGGGCTCTCTGGCAACTTTGTTTGAAATAAGCAGAACTTGCTTTACGTTATAGAA